TTCCTCACATTTCAGAGGGCTCTGAGGTGTACCCCATTTCTGCTCTCACACTTTTTTGTTATACTTATAGTCCAGGAGGAACTTGGACAACATGGTAAGCTCTCAAGCTTAGCAAGAGGGTATCAAAACAAGGGCCACAGAGGCCACATTTCCTGGGGGCAGCTTTCCCTGAATAATCTCCTCTTCTCACACCCAAATGAAGTGGGGTTCTCTTACTTTAAAAAAAAAAAACAATATATAATTCATTTCTAGGACTCAGCAGTTTGTGATTATCTATTCACTGCATGATTAGGGTGTGGTTCTACTTCCCTATTAGACAGTAAGCTCTATGAAGGTGAGACGTGTTTCTTTTCCTTTCCATCCCACAAAGACCAGTACACTGCATGTATTCAAAAAGCATTATTGTGTATGAAAATGATATTTGTCTTTCTGCTGATATTCTAGACATAAACTGAGGCAAGGGTAAGAATGCCATGGGAGGGAAACTGGCAGTTCAGAAGGTTCTGGAAGCAGGTGAAGTGCCATGGTTGTCACAGTGTAGAGAAATGAGCCAGCTGGGAAGAATTCTTGTTATCAGAGAGGGAAAGACTCCTATTGAAAAGTGAGGCATCCAAATGTCTTCTTTGATATAAGGAGTGTAACTAAGAACAGAGTAGGGACGAAGAGCATGAGAAGAAGATTAACATTAAACTGGGATGAGAGGTGGGAGGGAAAGGGAGAGAGAAGGGAAATTGCATGGAAATGGAAGGAGACCCTCAGGGTTATACAAAATTTCATACAAGAGGAAGTGAGGGGAAAGGGGAAAATAATACAAGGGGGAGAAATGAATGACAGTAGAGGGGGTAGAGAGAGAAGAGGGGAGGGGAGGGGAGGGGGGATAGTAGAGGATAGGAAAGGCAGCAGAATACAACAGACACTAGTATGGCAATATGTAAATCAATGGATGTGTAACTGATGTGATTCTGCAATTTGTAAAGGGGGTAAAAATGGGAGTTCATAACCCACTTGAATCAAAGTGTGAAATATGATATATCAAGAACTATGTAATGTTTTGAACAACCAACAATAAAAAATTAAAAAAAAAATAAAATAAAAATACCTTTTCACTTAAAAAAAAAAAAGAAAAGAAAAGTGAGGCATCTCTGATAAGTAAATAACCCGAGTTTGCTGCCTGGTTTTGTGATTTCATGTTTGCATGTTTTATGGCTCTGTGTATATTTCTTTCCCTGACTAGTTGGTTTGAAATATCATAAAGGGGTCTGAGGATAAACACACTATTTCAGAGAAACTATCATCCTTGGTTTTAAGAGAGTGATTTATGGAGAGGCCAAAGCCAATTAGGACTGAGCATACTTATTATGATACCCTTGGTTGATGTTTTACAGTTGAGTTTTCAGATTAGTTGATTCTCATAGATGTAATGTGAAGTAGACAGCTCTGAATCTTGGCCTCAGGTTCATAGAGGAATAAAGGGATACTCAGAAGAAGTTGATTTATCCAAGATAAAGTGAAAACATTTTGAGTGCTTACTATGTGCTAAGGCATTACACTAAGCCCTTTATATTAAGTATATAATATAATCCTCATCATATCTCCATGAGATGAGTAGCCATTACTGCTATTTCCATTTTACAGAAAAGAAAATTGAGAGTTAGAGGATTGGGGTTGTGGCTCAGTGGTACAGTGCTAGTCTAGCATGCATGAGGCACTGGGTTCGATCCTCGGCACCACATAAAAATAAAAAATAAAGATAGTGTGTCTACCTAAAACTAAAAAATAAATATTAAAAAAAGAAAATTGAGACTTGGAGATGTGGAGTAACTTACATCAAATTATACAACTAAGAAAAGAGAACCAGGCTTCAAACCCAGCTAGTCTCAGGAGTGCAAATGGTAAACTGCTTTGCTAATGAGCAGCATTGGGGGATCTCCGATGAAGGATATGCTTTGTTATTTGGATTTACTCTTGTAAATTTACTCTTTGTGGCCCTTGTTTTGATACCCCCTTGCTAAGCTTGAGAGCTTACCATGTTATCCAAATTCCTCCTGACACCTGGATCAATTCTTCTATTTCAGGCAGTTTAAAACCTGTTTTCAGTTTCATCTTGACTTAGAATTGATCAAATGGAGGACACAGTGACGTCACTACAAGTGATTGAAATTATATCAACTAAGTTCAGATTAAAAACCTGAACCCTAATTTTTTTAAAATTGAAAATTGTTAGCTTTCCATCACTGTGACAAAACACCTGAGAAAATCAACTTATAAAGAAAAAGGTTTGTTTTGGTTCATGGTTTCAGAGGTTTTAGTCCATGGTCTCTTGGTCCTGTGGAGGCAGCATATCATAGCAAAAGTATGTGGTGGAGGAAACTTGTTTACCTCATGACTGCCGGAAGCAAAGAGCAAGAGGAAAGGGCTAGCATTCCAGTACCCCTTCAAGGACATGCCCCCATGACCTAACTTTCTACCACTATGTCCTAACTTCTAAAGGTTCCATCTCCTCCCAATAGTGCCACAAGCTGCTGACGAAGCCTTTAGCATATGGGCCTGGGACAGGGGGAGTTTATTTAAGATCCAAATCTTAACAAATACATTTACTAATGCTATATTTTTATAGGTGTTTATCACTTAATAACCACAGGACACATTTTATTGAATATATTGAAAAAATTTGTATATTTCTCTGAAGGTGTACTCAAAATGATTAAGAAGCATAAAAAATCTGTCCATGAATATATGTAATTATTTGAGCTCTTTTTACACCATTAGCTCTTCAAGGAGATAATCACAGTGACCAGCATGCTTTGGACCTTCTGTAGACCCAAGTCTCTCTCCCCATGGGTTCTTTTTACACTGGGCTTTGTAATTGAAAAAAGAACATGGAAATGCTATATTTTATAGCTTCAAAGTACAACAACAAAAAGCCCTCGCTTGGATACCTAGCTAGGAAAGTAATCCAGCTAAAATTTTGGGCCCGTGACAGAGCTAAGATGCAGGCTAGACACCTGAGATAAGGGAGAGGGTGTCATTTATGGGTCTTTTGAATATCATTGACTGCATTTCAAGGTCACATTAGAGAGGGTATTGGCTCATATTTGGCTTGTGTGTGTGTGTGTGTGTGTGTGTTTCTTTATGCCTTTCCCCTCCCCATTATGGATAACTGAAGTTTTAATATACAGTAGTGACATTCTAGTAGATGAAGGAAGGGGGCAGTCCCAGAGGGCAATCTGAACTTCTGCTTAGTATATTTACTCTTGCTGTTTTCCTTCCTCCTCATTTGTAATTCAGGAGGCTCTCTGACAAGAGAGAGACAGCAAGGCTTCTTAGATGGATGGAAGAGCCTCGAGCTGGGATACCAAGCTCTATGAAAAGGTCGGCTATGGTATTTGCTATTACCTTTAGGCAAATCATTTGATCATGCTGTGCTTTGGGTTCTTCCTGTGCTTGCTAAATGTAAATAACATGTATCTGTGCATTTTGTGGTTATCAGTTATATTTTAAGTGTGTGGGTGATTTATGTTTTTCTAGGCTGGCTGCTCAGGTATAAAGCAAAATCCACTCCTTTGCGATGACAGGCTTTGTCAACTGACTCCCAAATCCTTCAGACTTGTGCTGCCATCTATTTTGTTTCATATTCATCTGACATATTTGGCCATCTTGAAGCTGTAATTAGGCAAGAAACTATAACTGGGGCATACCTTTTTGTCTTCTTTGTCTTCAGAAACGAAATATGTCATTTTATGTGCTCCTGTTGCTTTGTAGCTCTCTCCCCTATTGGGAGAGAGCAGCTTTATCTGTGACACTGATCCCAAGAGATGGGAAAGGTGACCCAGGAGACAAACTGAGTTATTTGGACTTGCTACCATAGTTCCTTTTAAATGTTTTGGGCCAGGTACAGTCTGTTACAATTCTCAGCAGCTAATAGAAGAGTTTGTGGGTAAAGAAATTATTTTGTTCCCCATCTGTGGGTCACTACCCCACTATTTTATAAATGAAAATCTCTTAAGTGAAATAGGAAATCAACCAAAAGATTTGTTTCTTTTGCTTTGAACTAAAATGAAGAGTATTTACATAATTTCTGGTGCAAATGAAAAGCATTCTCCAAACAAACCTGGGAAGGTGTTATTAGAGGGCCTAGGAAATGTGTTACTCCTTAGTTGTTGCTCGGAAAGCAGCAGGAAGAAGTTCAGACACAGGAACACAGTGTAACTTTTCAGTTTTGAAATATTAGGTCTCCTTGTCCTATCAACATCAAAGAAACATCCGGGTCAATCTCCCAGAGCTGAGATCGCTTGAAGTGTTGAGTCCAACTTCCGTCTGTTACTTATAGGGAGCAAACTTGGGGTGTTTCATTCTTGGGCAAGGCTCATCAATTCCGCACATTGCTTCCTTATGGTTGCTCCAGCTACAGAAGCTTCCAACAAAGGCAGAGCTTTCTTTCACTCTTGCCTCTTAGGAACACGTAGCCAGCAACTTGTCAGGTTTGGGGAACCCGCACGCCGGTGGTGATGGTGGGAGTAAGGAGCAAGGCAGAGGTTGGTCTTTCCCTCTAAATGCCCTGCTTTGCAGCTACTGCCAATTAGGGTGGAAGTTTGGGGAGTGGGAGTCTCGGCTGTCGGCCCTAAACTGGAAACTAGGCAGCTGACGCAGAAACAAGAACTGGCAGCGTTTGACTCTGCGAAGGCCCAGGGAAGGGTCGAGGCTGCTCATCCTGGGGTCAGTCTGTACAGCCAGGTTAAAGTCCTGCCTGGGGTGGGATGAAGGGCCCAGAGGTTCTGCGGGCACCACCTGGGAGAGGCGGAGAGGCTTCGGTTCACGCCTCCGCCATTGCGCCGAACGCCTGCAGCCCCAAGGCGGACGCGCGCGCCAGGCGAATGCGCGCCTCTTTGTCCCGCCTCCCGGCCGGCCCACTCATTAAACGGAAGGAGCGCGCCCGGAGAGAACGCGCCCCAGTCGAGCGTACGTGCTCCGGCTGGAAACTAGCGCCGGCGGCGTTGGCGTTCCGCGGGCGGAAGGGAAGGGGGAGGTGAGAAGGCTGAGCGCCGGCCGCTCCTCCCCCCGCCACTCCCCGCCTCGGCCCTGAAGGGGCTGGATGGGCAAGTTGGACGCGATGGCTCGAGCCCGGGCGGCGGCGGTAGTGGCTGGAGGCGGCGGCACCTCCTCCTCCTCGCCCCGGCGCCGGCGGTGATCCGAGCGAGCGGCCGCGGCCCCCGATGAGACTGTTGGTGGGCTGGCTGTGCCTGAGCCTGGCGTCCGAGTGGCTGGCGCGGAGGATGTGGACGCTGCGGAGCCCGCTCTCCCGCTCCCTGTACGTGAACATGACGAGCGGCCCGGGCGGGCCGGCGGCGGCCGCGGGCGGCAGGAAGGACAACCACCAGGTACGGCCGGGGCGCGGGCGCGGGCGGGGGCGTGGCGGCCCGGCCTTCCCGCTCTCGGCCCGGCTATTGTGCTGGCGGAGCGGCGAGCGGGCGGCCCGGCGCTGCCTCGCGGCCCCGGCCTCTCGGAAAGTTTTCCCCGCCGGTCGCCGGCCCCAGCTCCGGCCCCGGCCCCGGCCCCGCTGCGCCTTTTGTTCGGCGGCGCGGGCGGAGGACGGCCTCCCCTTCCCCCTCCCGGGGGCCCGAGCGTGGGCGCTCCGGAGCCCCGCTTTGTCCCCGGGTCCCGGGCGGTCACCGCGGACGTTCGGCCACTGAACTGGAGGAACTTCGCGGCTGGCGCATGGCCGGGGGCACCCATCTGGCATCGAGGCCCGAGAAAGAAAGACCCGAGTAAAACCATTACCTCGGACAACCTTCCCAACCCCTGGGAAACAAAACAAAAAGCCGGTTCCTCTTTTTGTCTGGTGGAATCCTTGAACATACAAAGGGTCGTAAAGAAATTTAGCCGTGCACTGTGAGCCGTTCGGCTGACATTTCCCCTAAGCCCTTAAAAATGTATTTGACAGGTCCCTGCTCCCTGTCTGCAGAGCCCTCCCCTCCCGCCTAAGAGGCGTCTCCTTTAAACTTCAGTTTAGTTAGCTGACCGGAAAGATTGGGATCAAGAGGAAGATGATGCAAGCCTTTACGGAAGGGTTTTAAAAACAACTGGGCAGGAGCGAATTATTTTAGGAGTTGTAGTTGGTGGATCCTGAGCGATACGATGTGACCGGCTAGGTGGTCTTTTTGTTAGCTCATTTTTGTGCCACTTAGCAGATTATGTGTGGGTCAGCTGTAGAATTAAGAGGGAGATATTTCATATTTGACCATGTGGTTGGAGGTTAACCTTGCATTCATTGAAAAAGAGGCGTTTGAAAAACTCTGCCAAAGTTTTGGCTTATTATAATAAAGCATTGATATAATACCTTTTGCCTTTCCAGGGAGCAGTAACTGATTATTTTCCATATCATTTTGGGTCTCATCATTTTCATGTATTTCTCATTTTCCTGTGTACTCATTATACCAGGTGTTCAAAGAATTCAGACCCAGGTTGGTTTTGTGTGTCTTAATGAATGTAAAGAATTGTCTAAGAAACAGATAAAGCAATTTATTCATAAAAGTAACATTTAATTTTTATTATTAACTACTTCTGGTAGCTTTTTATTTATTTAATATGCTGGGGATGGTACCCAGGGCCTCTCTGGCAGGGAGTGAGTGTGCTGCCACTTAGCTTTCCCCCGTATTTTTAAAGGAATTGTAAATTTCTATAAATTTTTTTTTTTTTTTTTTGGAAATCTCCCAGTGCTTGCAATGTGGTCGGTGATCACTCCTATGATATTGTTGAAGTGTGTGTAAACTTAATACACAATCTTAAATTATAAAACCACATTTATTGCCATGGATTGATTACTTAAACTAGTTCATTCCTGTAGAAACAACTCTAAAGTACTATTCTATTAACTGTTCAGTTATCAGAGAGGCACATCCAGATGGAACATGGATAATGGTGTAGAACAATGAATTAGAAATGTCATTTTTAACAAGCATTTGATAGAAAGTCCTGGAAAGGAAAAAAAATACACTTTTTTTCATTTAACATGGAATTATGGTTGAGTCTCTTAGTCCGTATTTATGACAACACTTATGATTACTGCAGCACCATATGTTTTCAGTGCTCATAAAAAAATAGCACTTTTTTTTAAATTGAGAGACTGTTTGTATAAACTGTGGTTTTTATGGAGCCTAGAAAAGAATGATAGCTGTTTACATGGCTTCAATATCTCCCTACAGAGAGTATTTTCTAATTGTGAACCTTTTTAAAGCTGAATGTGTCAGACTCTAACAAAAACTAATACTGGTTTCAGATACCGCACTTACTTTATTGTGTTTCTGAGATACTCAAAAGTGTGTGTGTGTGTGTGTGTGTGTGTGTGTTTTAACCAGTTGCATTTACAACTTGGTAGATAATTTCTCCAGGGTGAACACTAATCCTATGCTTTCTAAATACTTAGGGAGGATCAACTCTTCCTTAGAATAATGAATCCAACCATTATTTTGAGATGAATACATTCATGTTGTGAAAATATAATTGTCCATGAATAAAGATTAAAATGAACAAAAGTAAAATGTGTATGGAAACCACAGTGAACTAAAGAAAAGTAGGAGACTGTTCTTTCTGTATCATGGCTGAACTGATGATTTGTTATTCCTTTTATGTTCCAGACCCTAGGTTTGCCTCATGACTTTGTTGCTTGTGAAGTAACTTTACTCTGATGGTTTCCCCCTTCAAATTAATAGTTTTATACATGGTCTTCTGGTGTTCATTTGGGCATGTAGGTTCCACAGCCAGCCACATCTGGTTCTTCTGGAGTTGCATGAAAGCAGGAATATGGATTTGATTGACCCATACTTAGTGCAAGTTTTCCTTCTGGTTATTTTACTAAGGAATTATGATGGAGGATTTTTTGGTTAGACAGAGAGAGAGGTCTTGGGTAATATTTATTTATTAAAAATTGCTATTTAGTTAATATAGCCTGGAGCTAGAAGGCGCCGTTGGGCCAGGCCAAAGCAGCTCTAAAACTATGGTAGCAGCACCACTTTTAACAATTTGGTTCAGTGTGCTGGCTTCAAAATTGGGATTATGTTTCACTTTGGGCCAGTGAGAAATAGGGCTTCTCTTTGAGAAGGGATATGGCCCACAGGCCAAATTAGTCTCATTGATTTATTGTTTAATTTTATTTTTTTAGTTGTAGTTTGACACAGTACCTTTATTTTATTTATTTATTTTTATGTGGTACTGGGGATCAAACCCAGTGCCTCACACTTGCTAGGGGAGCACTGTACTGCTGAGCCACAACTCCAGCCCCATCTCATTGATTTTTACATAACTGTGAAGTTAGAATAGTTTTACCTTTTAAAATGGTAACCAAGAAAAAAAATACTATTAAATAATGAGAGAATTTTATGTGTGAAATTCAAATGTCAGTGTCTGCACATAAAGTTTTATTGAAACATAGCTTACCTATGGTCTGTGAGTGCTTCTGGGCTACAGCAATTGAGTTGAGTAGTTGTTACTGTATGGCTCACAGTCCTTCAATATTTACTATCTGTCACTTTACAGAGGAAAAAAGTTTCTTTTTAAAATTTATTTTAATTTGTTCTAATTAGTTTTACATGACAGTAGAATGCATTTTGACATATTGTACAGGAATAGAGCACAACTTCTCCTTTCTCTGGCTGAACATCATGCAGAGTCACACCAGTAGTGTAATTATGTGTATAGAGTAATATAATGTCCATCTCATTTCACTGTCCTTTCCATCCCCATCCTTCTCTCCTTCCTTCACTTCCCTCTGCACAATTCAAAGTTTTTTCATTCTTCTCCACCCACCCTTAGCAAGGAGGTATCACAATACCAGACCTTAAACTATATTACAGAGCAATAGTAACAAAAATGGCATGGGTGTTAGCACCAACATAAACATGTAGACCAATGATAAAGACTAGAAGACACCTAAACCTACATAAATACAGTTTTCTCATACTAGATAAAGGTGCCAAAAACATACATTGAAGAAAAGATACCTTATTCAACAAATGGTGCTGGGAAACTGGAAATCCATATGTAGCAAAATGAAATTAATCCCTATCTCTCACCTTACTCAAAAATCAACTCAAAGTGGATCAAAGACTTAGGCACTAGAACAGAGAGACCCTGTGCTTAATAGAAGAAAAAGTAGGACCATATCTCCACCATGTTGTTTTAGGAACTGACTTCCTTAAAAAGACTCCTAAAGAATAAGAAATAAAATCAAGAATTAATAAATGGAATGGCTTCAAACTAAAAACCTTCCCAGCAAAGGAAACAATAATGTGAAGAGAGAGCCTATAGAATGGTAGAGAATCTTTACTACACACATCTCGGAACACTAAAAAAATTTTTTTCCCAGATTCCTTAATCAGCATCATATTCCCAGTCCCTGGTGGCAGAGTGGCTAGATTGTCTCATTGGGGAGAGGCAGTGAGATATAGAGCCAGGCAGTGAGAAACTAGACGGAATCACATTTTAATGTTGGTAGACTCTGAACTTAAAAATAAAACAACAAAAACTTTGGATCTATTCTTTTTGATGCCTCACAGCTAGTGCTTAAAGTTAATGCAGTTATTAAGGGGCTATAGAAACTTGAAAGAAACTTTAAAACTCCACTAACTAGATTCTTGATAATAACAGCCATTCACAGCTTCTCAATTGGTGGAGTGGAAAAAAAATGTTATAAAATTTCTCCAGGTGACAAACTGCATTTTTTTTAAGCACAGATAGCATTCATATCAGAAATTGTTTAGATGTAACTTAAAAAATTGCAAATATGGGTGTATCTGTTAACCTCAGAACTATGTCATGCTGCACTTGATAATAGATTCAAGATAGAATTGAAATAATTCTTTTTTTCCAAATGAAAAAATACTCGGATTCATAGCCAGAGTTTAATGTTGTGCTAAAGGACAGATTTGGTTTCCTATCCCGTGCCCTCAAGCACCTTGTGGAGGCTGGTTGAAGTCAGGCATGAGTTAACAGTTCTTCAGGGCGTTAGCCAGCCAGCTGGACACTGATGGATTGGTGTCCACCTCTAAACTGCCTTCCAAAGTCTGGAGGCTTTGTAGCCTCGCACCAGAGAGTCTTTGGAAAGGGTTTCTTTCCTTCCTCATAACCTGTGTTGAAACCCTAACCAAATGTTTGCTTCAGTTTCACAGAACTCTAGGGTCTCTTTCTTCTGCTGAATACCAGGGGTCTTTATGTTCCTCTTTGAAGGTGCCCTAGAAGACCCTAGTAACTTCCAGTAAAAGGGCTGTTTAGATTCTCCAAAGTTTTGTTAAAATCCTACTATTTTAAAGTGAGGTTTTCAAAGGAAGATTGCCAACAATTTATTTATGAAATCAGATCTAAGGCAACTTAATCAATCTGTATA